GTACTTATAAGTACTGCTCCACTTTACAAACGATATCCATAAATGTTTTTTCCTTCATCTTTTTTTTAAATATTTTTTACGGAACAGTCTACAATATTTTCAATCTTAAAGAATCTCAAAGACTGTTAAATAATGAAGTGAGATATATGATATATTAATATATACACATATTTTGCTAAGAATGGCGTGTATTTATGTCTATTGTCCATTAACAGGAGGTCCACTTTACATCATCGTGGAATATGCTGAATTCGGCTCTCTTCGTTCTTATCTTAGGAAGAATCGGTCATCAGGATTTGAGTGCAATGACGTCAATATGTTTCAAGTGGGAAATCCCATGTACTTCTCAGACAGTGGTGACATCTGTCATCGTAGCAGTGCTAAATTAACAAAAAGGGACTTGGTATCATTTGCTTGGCAAATCGCTAAGGGAATGGCTTATTTGAGCGATATGAAGGTTTGTTATAGACGTAACATTTGCAATAAGCCAATATTTTACATATAAACGCTTATCATAAGTGTAGATGGTTCGTATAGACTTACAATTGATCGCCTGTTTTCTCTATTTTTTTTTTCTTCAAGTGGAAAGACTGAAATTATGAGTACATTTGTCCGTTTGTCTATTGTATGCTACAACGTTTGTTTAATATTTTATTACATTACATTTATTTCCTGAAACCTTCAATGAAGTCACGTAAGTTCTTAATCAAACAAAACAATTTATATATAGGATACTTACATTAAACATATATAATATCTACTCTATCAACGTCGTTTGTGTGACATGATATTTTATACGACTTTTGAGTGAACAAAGAGAAGGAAGCCACCGCAGTCATTACTTTAATGAGGGAGACTAATGCTCACAGCTAGTACCTATTTTAATAGATGAAAGAACTGTGAAGTTAACTTTACAGTTTAGATAGAAAGTTGTGTAAAAACTTTTTTTAATAAATGTTAAGATTTATTGAAAAAGAATCACGCACGAAATTATATAAAAAAGTTTTCATCCAAACATTCACCTACAAGACCAGTTGAAGATTTTCTTTAATTATTAAGTACGTCTTCCCAACAACTGTAACAACAAAACAAAATTGAAATGTCGTATATTATCGTATCTTACTTATTATAATGAGCATTTGAATTTGCTCACATTGGCAATGAAGTGGCAAAATCGAACGTCATCTATTAATGACTTTATTACTACCCGTTGATTGTGTGACGTTGCGAGTTTTTGATTTAACGTATAATATTATCACTATTATTTTATACTTTTAAACCTTTTAGTTCTGATCTATGTACCAGCTTGCTTTGATCAGAAATTATTATAAATTAGTTATTTTGCAAATAATATCTTAGTATTAGAATGTTGTAATGTTTAATATAAAAGCCCTCTTTGAGTTTTTAAGACATTTTAGTGTTGTATAGTAAGAATGGTGACGACTACAGTTCCAAACGCGACACAGTGACTGGCGTGTCGGACTGTTGAACTGAGGTGCTGTATTTCGCGCCCTAATACCACAAAAAATAAGAAACAATCTCGCTCCACACTTTAGGGCTGTAGGTGCATTATAAGAGTGATACTTAAATTAGTCTGCAGAATAGTATATGTTTTGAAAAAATTTTGGATTTTGTGGTAAAACCGTCGAACTCGTTAAAGTTATAGCCTCCAAGGACCTATAAAATATACAAACATGTCAATATTTATTAGATATTTACTATATTTGTGTTAATGTTATCAAGTAAAAGCCTGTAATCTAATGTATAATTTAAGATATATACCAACATAAAAAAAAAGTGGCTGCCATTTTTAAGATGGCCGACACAAATTTGAAAATATAAAAAATTACCAATAATTATTTGTGTAACATAATATTTTAAGGACAAGGGACCTGTTGGTCCATCTAGGCTGTCCCATTCACTAAACTAAATATATATATATATATATAAACTCAAAGCCAGCCCTTATCATGCAAGTATTTAGCAAGCCTACCCTTAAACTATATTAAATGTTACTACTTCCGCCGCATCTGAAGGCAGCCCATTCCAGAGGCCAACTACCCTGTTGAAAAAAATTAGTCTTAGTTGAAGGTGACTCATACTATGGCAAAATTTATATTTGTTTTCCCTAGTCCTACCATTCTTACCATTATGCACTCACACAAAAAAGATGACACATCGACACCATCAATTCCTTTAACATTCTTATACACTTCAATCAGATCCTCTCTGGGTCTTTTTTTTTCTCAAGAAAAAACAATTTCAGAGATCTTAACTTTCCTCATATGACTACCTTTCCATCCCAGGTATCATCCTAGTAGCCCTTCTATGAACCATCTCCAACAATTCATTGTCTTCCCTAAGACAAGGAGCCCAAAACTGAACACAGTACTCCAAGTTTTACCTAACCGGTAACAATCCTCTGATTTTTTCCATCCAGACAGTTTTCTATCCAACGACCCAACTTATCACAATCCAAAACATCTATAGAGATAATTTTTAAGAAACATTTTAGGTGGCACCATGTTACTTTCTGGAAATCTAAAAACGCCAAATCTACACCCTTACCTTCATCTACATAAGCAGTTGTTTAATGTTGGGATATTGCTCTATGAAAATAACAACTGAAATATTTTCATTATTTATGAAAGTCTATGTCAAACACTAATACTCACAATACCTACTTATTCTTTATGCAGTGTTCAAATATTACAAAAGTAAAAAATATGGAAACGGTGAAAGTCCTGTACTTAAACATACATGAACGATCATACATTTTTGACTGTCTTTATTAGTGTTCATATTCTTTTCTACATTTCACGGGGCTATACTTCACTGCTTTAACACACTTCAATATTCCCTTGCAGTTTTTATCTACTTTACATCCACACCTGATAAGCTCCATGAAGATGTCTGATGCTAGTTGTATTGAAGTACAAAATGACTCCCATATTTGTGAGTTGTGACTACCATTCTTCCAGCTCCAATCACCCAGGTTAGGTATTTGAGGGACAGGTACCAGTAGCTGTCCCCAACAATGTCCATCCTGGTATGCAACTTTTTTGTTGTTTTTGAGGAAGAGCTGGTTCAGTTAGAGGAATGGCATCAAATGACCTCCACCTTCAAGTCTAATTTATTTTAATGCATATGTTTGTTTCATCACACACATAAGGGCGACTAAACGTTCCACTTATGACATCAAGTTTGGCAAATCTCAGTGCTGGAATATTACTGAGAACTTCATAGGCTGATGTTACCTCATCAAGCGATTTTAATGTTTCCAATACAGTTTCCTGCGTATTTTGGAAAATGAAGAAATCTGAGTGCATTCCGTAAGAGCGTGAAAAAATTAGAGCTATTGACTTTAATGAATCCAATGACTTGAAATGGCATGTGTAGACAGGTACATGAAGAAATTTTTACCTGCGCCAAATGCGATCCAAAGTTAATTTAGAGTCACCTGCTGTATCAATGCAATACCTATAACTAACTATAACCATCTGTGATAACAGTTTGCACTATCATTTTCATCAAACCTTACTTTATAGCATCTGCCGCATGTAGAAATGACCTTGTATCGGCCTCTTCATGTTGGCATGGTTACAAGTCGCTTGCATCTTCGCGTTGCTTGTTACAAAATACCAATTTGCATTTTGTAATGGTATCTTGGTTGTTTTGTTCACATTCAGTAGTTACCGATTGCTCAGCCAAATAACCAAACGGCTCAGATTTGTTCTTAACAAACCTTAGGTATGCTTCCCAATTGCCTGGAAGTCTTGAGTCAATCTGCACGCGCCTCCGTACCTCTTCCTCTTTTTGTTGCGGGTGCTTTGAAATTTTCAGGTAAGTATATTCGTCCTAGACGAAGAATTCAAAAGGCGACCAATCAAAATAAACCGACAATCAAAGACTTGGTAACCACATTACCCCTTACCTTTCTTCGTGGGCCTCAACGTTCAAGCCATGACTATTCCTTTTGCTATTTTTCAAATTTTGTTTTTTAACTTAAAGCTAAAAATGTTTTAAAAGTGCATAAACCAGTCTTATTACTAATTAGAATCGGAATACTTATTAGTACTGCGATGATTTCAATTAATCTTTCTACAGTTATAATTTTTTTGTATTTATAGAAGGAAGTAGCGTGAACCCTAGTTAGATTAAAATCTAGAAAAAACTTACTTCATCAAAGAAAGTATTATAATTATTAGTCTCAAGAATGATATTATCTCATATGAAATACTACGGCGTAACTAGTTGATATTGTATTTCCAAGTTTGTATACATAAACGATTACGTAACAGTATATAGAAATAATTAATAGCAACAGTTATAAGAGAAATAATTGGAAACTTATTAATTTACAATAACCATTCTTTGAAAAGGCACTTTAGAATGTAGATAAGTAATATAATTGGGTATACATTTCTACTTGGTTGACCTTATGACTCGTTCAAAACAATATGAAAAGTTTAAAGTATTACAATCTTAAGTGGTATACCGACATTCTGTTTGGTTTGTTTTTTAGGCATTGATTGTTATTGTGTAAATACCTTCTAGATAATTATATCTCTTTATATTTTCTTGTTTCAACAGTTAATTCATAGAGATTTAGCGGCCAGAAATTTGCTTTTAGCGGAAGGAAATGTCATCAAAATTTCAGACTTTGGGCTTAGTCGTGACGTTTACGAAGGTGACACCTATTTAAAGAAAACCAAGGTAAGTAATTATTGTATATTGATATTTACTTAAATAAACTGACCTGGTGACCAAAATTAATTTTGTAATATTCAAACTAATTACTAGTATCATTCTAGGATATTTTGTAAATAATGAACTTTTTAATTTCTATTATTGAAACAATTAACTTACCAGCAAAAGATGATTAAATCTTTTGGTACAGAAATAATTTGAAGGAAGAAGACCTAGCCTAACAGAATAATTGTGTGTGTTTTAACATATATTATATTTTTTATGCGTTATATAAACTGATCACTAAATTCCTTTTGTTCATTTTGACAACAAATTATATATATATATATAAATAAACCAAAGCTTCACTTATATAATATTTCATAGCTGTGGTTAAACGCTCCATCACATTTCTTGCTCAACTACGCAATATAGTTTCGTTTCTACAAATATCTGAAGTCACAACTTTTATAAATATTGATAATGTAGCATTTTATAACAAAATATTACAATGAATTTGTAATATTTTCCGAAGTAATAACTAAAACTGTTATTTGTTTTATTTATGAATTAATCTACTGATACAAAAAGGGAAGAGTTCCTGTGAAATGGATGGCTTTGGAATCTTTAGAAGACCACATCTACACCTCAAAGAGTGATGTGTGAGTACTGTACCTTCATCAAAATCACAGGTTAAATTCTATACTACACGAGAGTTTAGAAAAGGTTAATCTACTCAGTTCACAATTGAGTGCCTTTATTTTCAAGAAAAATTTATACATTAAAGTTTAGCTTACAATGACATTTGATATCGTTTTACCTCAGTTCACTAAAAATAAGCCATTACACCTCGTTAATAAGTCAAATAATAAATAGTTCGTGTGTGTGTTCTATAGCAAAGCTACATCAGGCTGTCTGCTGTGTCCACTGAGGGGACTCGAACCCCTAATTATAGCGTTGTAAATCCGTAGAATTACCGCTATTCCACCAGGGGACAAATAGTTCGTTCATATGTTAACTTGTGATGTTAGAAAAAAAATATGTAAGTTTGTTAATAGGAAAATAAGTAGTATTTAAGCTGTCATTAAAGTTTTGTTACATATAAAATATATTGTGTACTATGAATACAGCTATTGAATACTTTACTATCAGAAAATATTGGAAAAGTAATAATCTTTTACGTATGAATATAAACACAGATCAGTGTGGAAGGTTATTTGACCAAACATTTGTTGAAAAAAAAATTGGTTCTTTTGTAATGATCGAACCTTTAACTTTCATGTCTCATTCATAATATGTTTTAAGACACCAACACTAGCTCATTAATTTTTTCTGTTGCTACTAAATTACTTGAATGTATATATATATATTCATTTTCAGGTGGTCGTTTGGAGTAGTTCTTTGGGAAATTGTGACCTTAGGTATGTTGATTGAAAACTGCTTTGTTTTGAACAATTTCGTATGCCTAGACTTATTTTTCGCCCATAATTTTATTAATTTATTTATGCTCTATACAACGATGGTATAAAAACCCGGTCTTTAGCGTTATAGGCCCTCAAACTAACTGCTCAGCCAGTGAAAGGGAAACTTTATTAAAAATCACTCATATTTTATGGAAGATTAGATCTATTTTTATTAATTAAGGCTACTATCAATATGTTTTGAGCTTTGAAAATATAATAATTAATGCTAATTAAAATAATATGTATTTAAAATATTATTTAAACAAACAAAAAACTCGTGAAATATTTTTCTTAATCGCAAGGTATTCAACTTCAAGTCAATTCTCATATGTCAGAACTGTTACTTGCAGTAAAAATACTAATCAGTAGTAATACACATGCTCAGAAAGTAGAGTATCTAATGAAATTGTAGGGACTGTACATAAATATACAGTAAAGTCACGTTACTTACGTATTTTGTATTTTTTAGTATATAAAATATGAACCTGAGAAGGAGAAGGACAGCCACCAAAATAAGATTTACAAATCAAAATGGCCAGGTTCTGCAATAATTCCTAATAAAGTTTATAACTTTGGGGCAATTTAAATTGTGTTAGCGGTTTTAGTTAGTTCCAGAACACGAACAGAATTCTGTCCGTGAATTTAGGGTATTACTTCCTTTAAAACTGTCAAGAATGTAAGATTTTTTTTCCACTTTTCATCTTTTCTTGTGGGCGGAAACTGGAAAAGAGTCCCTTCTACAGAATATGATGGAATGCATATAACCAAACCCAAAAGTGGTTACGTTAAACTGTACAAAGTGAAAAATAAAAGCATTTGCTGTGCAATATTTGTAAGATTCCATTGACAATAGTCACTTACAATAAATAAATATGGTTGAAAGTACAAGAATATTAATTACCAAGTCTATACATTGTTACAGAAAAACAAAGTAGCAGTCTAGATTAAACTTTATGAAACAAGCAACAGTCAAATTTTGCTCTGGCACGTCCATTGTTTCTTTCTAAGCGAAGCGACCGTTTAATGTTATTCCAATACTTTCAGTATTAGTTTCAAAAGCAAGAAACTCTCTGAGTTTTGCTCTCACACGTACATTACATCTATAAAAACTAAGATATCGTCTACTTTTCTTCTAACACTTCAATTTAGCTCAGGAAACAAGTGGCCTTTTAATAATATCTGACATGTTCAATATTCCTTTCGAAACTAAGCGACTGTCTTGTTCCACTTTGGTACTTTCAATGTCAGTTTGTAAAAATAAGCAACTGTATAATTTTACACTGACCTTACCAATACTTGCTTAGAAAGCTAACGATTGTACTATACACCTTCATTGCATCTTTTCGGTCTCTCAAAAGTGAAATAACAGACTTTGAAGATGTACTTTTAAATGTGAGATTCTGTTATTGCTTTGAACTGGGATAGAAAACTGATTTTTAATTTTCATAGATCAATTAACAAGACTCTAAAGTGGATTTGAATTAGAGAATAGATTAAGACATCAATGTCATATGATATGTCTTCAAATACAAAAGATTCGGAGGACGTTAATCGCTTATAAAAACACATTCGTGGCTTTCTTAGGTTTAACTTTTACCTAGTTATATTGTCTTAATGAAATATAAGTTTATTTATGTTTAAATATATGTAGTAAGGCGTATAAACAGAGTTATTTATACGAGATAGAAGTTAATCATTACCATCACTCCATTTTTCATAGGCTTAGCAGCATATTATGTGTTTCTACATTTAGCCCTACTTAGAAATATTAAAATTTCAATTTTAAAATGTGATTACAAATAATTGTGGTTTATCGAGGAATTAAGATCCCAAGTAGTCTTTCTGTATGTTCGAATACTTACTGCTACCATACTTATGTGTTCTGTCTGTTTATGTCATGTGTTTATTTCAAGGTGCCAGTCCTTACCCTGGTGTGCAGTTAGAACGGCTCTACCACCTTCTTAAGGCTGGGTACAGGATGGAACAACCAGACACATGTTCAGATAAGCTGTAAGTAAACAAGAATACCACCTTTTCTGTCTGGAAATATACAGTGTTAACGAGGATTATGTTATACATCATAAGTGGTTCAATGTTTATTTTTAAAAGTGAGTATGTCGTAGTAGGATTGGCTGAATATCAAAATTTCGATTCATTTGCTTTTGCCAAAACGTCGATTTGAGCCAATCCCAAGATGAAATTTCCATTAAAAAGTAAATAATGAAAGAAAATTATTTTAGAACTGCTTAAATCAAAACACGCTATACAACTTGTAATGTTGCCATATTATTTTTATACTTCTGTTCAGTAAGTGTAAGTGTAAAATACAAGTTCTTATGGAAAGCTGGATTACATAAGCAAGTGGCTTCTTTAGATTTCAAGACTCCTACGATTTTAGTCCATTTAATTAATCGATTTTAAGGTGTTAATGTAACCCTAGATTCTCAGAAATATATATTATAGTCCTAACATTTTTCTATGGTAAGTTTGTGACCACACGAAATTTTGTAGGGTACGTTCGATTCGAAAGATTTTAAATTTAAATAGATCCAGTTACGAACAAAACAAAAACGAAAGTCACTAGCGGTAGAACTAACAAAAGAATGGTTGTTGACACTCAAGAATCATCTGCAATGCTAATTTTACCACCTATATTATCACCTTATATTTAAGTTCTTATTTTTGATTTTTCAATTAAAAAAATATTTTCCAAAACTAAGTCCATAAAACCTTTTTTTAAAAAATATGTAATAGTGTCATGAAATATCTTGAAGGTCCAAAAGATATGCATTTGTTATTAAAACAATTCGTCCCATTATTACAACTTTTATATATGTTATTTTGAAATTTTCTTTCTGAATTCACAGGTACGATATTATGTTAATGTGTTGGAGAGAAAATCCATACAATCGACCATCTTTCAAGGACCTTGTTCATAGACTCGATATGATGTTGCAAGAATCTGCGGTTAGTTCTGGTATAAATTTGACTTTTGTACAGAAATCTGCTGTATAAAGTTCATGGAGAATACATGTTTCGATGAACCAAGTTTTATATATTCTTAGAAGCATTTTACAAAGCTCTATTAGAAAAAAAATTAACCAAAATTTTCTATTTGTTTGTTTGGAATTAAGCACAAAGCTATACAGTGGGCTATCTGTGCTCTGCCCACCACGGGTATCGAAACCCGGTTTTTAGCGTTGTAAGTCCGTGTTAGAAAATTAGCAAAGAGCATAGTTGAACTTTACGAGCTGTTTATCCAAAACAATTCAATAAGTTCTGAGGAAAAATTTACTCTTAATATCCAAATTTATTTTTTTTGCACTTAATATAAACATAGTTGACCGCTCTTAGGAAAGGTATTAACCAATATTGAATGGAATAATCGAATTGTTAGTTTGTTCAGACTTATCCGGTTTTATGAAGATTGGATTCTATTTATCCTGTATTAGATTTAATTAAGGAAAGGTGTTAAAGCTAATATTTCTGGTTTGTTCACAGAAGAACTACTCGAAATCTTACAATCACAAAAAAATACTTAAAATGTCGAAGGATTCGTAAACGTTATACACTGAAATTTTCAAGTTTTTAAATCAAGGCATTTGGGTTTTATGCTAATAAATGTACACAAAATCATTTATAATTATAGAGAATGTACGACAGAAAAGTGTGGAAGTTAAAAACTAACTTTTAGTGGGAGAATTTGCTGTCATTGGTAATTGACTGATTTTAGTAAAAATTACGACTAATCATTGAATTTAACCTTATTTTCAATACAGAAAACGATGAAAAATATCATATTGATATCCCTCTATATAGGAATGCTTATTAAAATGATTACATATTAAACATTATTTGTCCTAGGAAAGCTACATTTCACCAAAAGTCCAATGAGAACCGCATTACCAATCAGCTTATCTAATCTATAGTTAAGTATTGTTTGTTTGTTTGTTTTTGAATTTTGCGCAAAGCTACACGAGGGCTATCTGCGCTAGCCGTCCCTAATTTAGCAGTGTAAGACTAGAGGAAAGGCAGCTAGTCATCACCACCCACCGTCACATTATAACGCCCCCACGGCTGAAAAGGCGAGCATGTTTGGTGGAACGGGGATTCAAACCCGCGACCCGCAGATTGCGAGTCGAGCGTCCTATCCACCTAGCCATGCCGGGCCATCCCTAAGTAAAGCTACTGTTTTGGACAATGTTCAATGATCCTGTACACTAGCTTACAGGAAAAGCGATTTAGGAATACAGTGCGCTATGAATTTGAAATATCATGTCCAAAATTTCGCGAGTAAAGTTTAAAACTCACCATGTTCCTCTGGTAAAATTTCGCTCCTTTATGGTAATCTGTGGCTTAATTATATTCATAACACGTACAGAAGGTCGCAAAGATGTTTCATTTTTATGTATTGCTGATTGAAAGTCTCATTTTTCAAAGATTTAGGAAGCCTTTAAGTTTTTTAATAATATAAATTTGGTGTATAATAATCTCAATTCTATCAGTGTTTTAATTATTTTAATGACACAACAGGTTTCCAAACCATACTACACTCAGGCTCAAGATACAATTATATATATAGCACACAAAAGTAAACAGCTATTAAAATCAATAGAAACATTAACAATAAATGTCCTACCGTTACGTGTTTAAATGTACGTGACAGCTGTCTGTTGTATATGCTATTTGTATTCAAAATACTTGTACACATAAATAACTCAGCTTTTTTGTATAAAGAAATTGATTCTTATAGGTGTGGTTTGGAGCATTAATACAGAATTTTCAAATTTTAACCCAGGATCTCTCCCTCAACCAGAGGTGAAGCGGTATGTTGGGGTGGCAGGGCAAGGAATGATAAATTCCAAGAATTGTTTTTGGAGGTGTATCATAAACCGTTGGAAGGTCCAAAACCTGCTATATCAAAATAAGCAATTCATATGGTGGTAATGTATTTCAATCAGAAGTTATGATCAGTCAAAGAAACACAGTGTTTCGGAATAACTATACCACTTTATCGGCAATGGTGACACAAATTTATTATCTGTTTCTTTTATTCTCAAATCAAATTATTCTACCATTCTTCATTGTTTGTTTGTTTGAGGTTGGTGACCTTGTTCTTGATCTTCTGATCTGGCGGAAGGATACTACCAATACCATATCTTCGTCAGCACCAAAACTATTTTTGAATGGCACCATAGCGTCTTTGGGCTTGATAGATGGATTTACCTCAAACAAGTGCTGTCATAAGATCCATCGTGGTCGAATCCACAGCGGTTACACAGGTTGCAAGTCGAATATCTCGAAAACTTTCACATACAGGCAATCTGCGGAGTAATGATGATTGATGATGACCTGCCGAAGAGTAACGAAGTTCCAGTCACGGTCAGCAGGGCTTGGAGTTATCTACTGAAGATCTATTGAGCTTTGGTCTGAAAAAAAAAAGAAGTTCATGTAGCAGACCCGTCGGTTATTCAACAAGAAGTAATGCCATTAACTACAGGGTTTTTTGATGATGGTGTGGCCAGTCATAATAAGGTCAATTTTTGTCTGATTTAAATTGTAATCGTCATATCTCCTCGAATGTTGCATTCCTTTTAAATTTCACCAATACGGATAAAACCAGGACTTTTTACATCCATCCATGTAACCGAGGATACTGTGGGGGGAGGGACTTTATGCTAAAACGGTTTATATTACTGACCCAAATTTGTTAAAAGAACAACCTAACTGCACAAGATAATTTTCAGATTTCTGCTAGTGGTGCAACTCGAAATATCAGCGCGGGTTCCCAGATGTTAATAGACTTAGATCAAACTTAGACTAGTTTGGTCATAAATATAAACTCTTTGTTCATGCAGAGAGAAACTTATTTTAACAACATATATTGTACAATATATATTTCATTGTTCTTGTTCATTACATCAGGATACTATGGATAGCACAAAAACAACGTTATGACTCTTATCTATTTTAAAGATTGTTAAAATATTTTGAAATATAATTATTCTCTCTTACCTAAGCTGAATCGCTGGTCATCTTTTAAATTTAACATATGGTTAAGATATGCCTTGAAGCCTGTGGTTCATATTTATATATTATTTCAACTGACCATAAAAATGTAGGAGACTGTCAAGCATAATGTTTGTGCCAATATACTTTTTTCATGGTTTTACTTAATTTTTTTTAAACAGGCCTAATAAAGGTAGGGCATAACTAGTGCATGGCTACCAAGCATTTATGTCCTCTTCAGTCCATACAGCCACTATAAGATAGGCAGTTCTGGTCTTTAAAAATATCTAATACTCTCAAAGACTTGCTTAAGTAAGTCGTATTCATTAAGTTTATACATTCACTTCCTCCTTATTTCTAATGAATTATTTTACGTTTTTATTCTAATATTTCCCATTGTTTGTTTGTTTTTTAGAGCAAAGTCATATTGGATTATCTGCTGTGTCCACCGCAGGGAATCAAACCTTGCATTTTAGGTTTTTAATCCTTAAACTCACAGCTGTTCCCCAGAATCAACTGGAAATGATCTAGCTTTGTTTGTGTGTTGTTTCTTCAGTGTTTATATAATAGAAACCATTTTATCGTTGCTTTGAATGAATGACGCAGAAACAGATATAAAATGGTTTAGTACTGCAGAAAATTAATAGAACAAACGCCACTCACTGTCACTGAGCCTTGGTTTATCTGTGGTTCATTAGTAGTAATAAAATATAACTTTAACAAATAAGGTATTCCTCCAACCGTGCTCACACATGACATTATACACAGGGTATCGTAATCGTAATAAGTCAATTATACAGTTGGTCAAAACTTGTGAATGTGAAAATAGAAGGTTAAAAGTGAGTTAAAGAAATTGTATTCTACACACAGCTAACATACTAACATTTCATATTTATTACTCAGGAATATTTGGACCTTAGTCCTATACAAACCGAGGGCAACAGCACCCCCTTTTGGACAGATGATGAGCACTTGTCTCTTGTGACACCACCTGGAATAGAGAAACGAGGTAAGGTATTTATTACTAAGTATCACATTTATGTATATCATGCAGGCGGGCGTAACCTTTTGGTTATCGTGCTCAGACTGTGAATTTGAGGGTTCGTGTTTCACGACTTTTTCCCTCAAAAACCCGCTCCGAACTTTGGGGCCGTGAGTGTCCTTTAAGAATGTCAAATTCTCAAATCACGCTAGTCGGCCAGAATAGAGTTGGTGGTATGTGCTGTTGGCCAGCCACCTTCTCTCTAGTCTATCAGTTCAAAATTAGGGACGACTATGCACAAATAGTCCTTTGTGTAGATTTATGATAATTGTTCGTTTGTTTGTAATTAAGCACAAAGCTACGCAATGGGCTATCTGTGCTCTGCCCACCACGAGTATCGAAACCCGGATTCTAGCGTTGTAAGTCCGCAGACATACCGCTGTGCCACTGGGGGGCATTTATGATAAAATTATGAAAATTGGAATCATGATTTCTTGTTATGAATATCATAGGTTACGCCATTCTTGTATAACTTATTCAATTAAAAAGTAAAAGATAGTTGTGCATATTGAAATGTTAAAAATACTAATTAGATTCGTCCCATCTGGCCTAATGTCACTAGGGAAGCATCTTAAGAAACATGTCTGACTCCAAAACAAATTTCCCAAATAGGTGTTCTACACTTTCTTTCTTTTTTTTCTGCCTTTGTAAGTAACAATAAGAAAACGACAGCTAACTGTACCACCTGTAGTTAAAACTTACTGGATGGATGGAAATATTATGTTGTTAGTAAGTTATTTTTAATTATTAGTGATTGTTTTGTATTGTTTCTCCGATCTGAAGGCGAAAAGACGGTGCAATACAGTAATGTGTACCAACCGAGTACTACCGACGAAACGATATGTCAAACAACCAGCCAAGAATCTGACTGCATACGGCTAATCTCGAAAAATCCCGAGGAATCTCTTCGGAGCGACGTTATCGGTGACGCAACATTATAGTCACGTAATTTCCTCTTTGCAAAAATAGTATACTGGTACTGATAGTGATTGTAAAATATGTAAGGAAATAGGGAGAGTGACATCTGATGTCGGTTTAGTGAAATAAACATTTATTAAGCATAATTGACAATGGGTTTATTTATAAATAGGTTATCTTTTCGAATCCAAGGGGGAAGTTTAGTGGCCAATCATTATTAATAGTACTTTATTTAAAGCATATAGATATTTCTGTGTCACTTATCAGCTAATATCTTGCTGGACAACTTTTCTGAATGTTACCTTACATCTTATAATCAGTTTTGTAAATAATTGTAGTTTTTCTCTCAATATACTTATTGTAATATTTAGGCTTGGCTGAAAATTTTACCCATCTGTTAGTTTCACAAATTTTGTGTAAATACCTGTCTTTAGTGGAAAAAGTATTAGTAGAGCCTATATCCGAGGAACGTTCATAAGAACCTATAGTCATGTTGTAACTATAAAATATATGTTCTCTGAGAAATCATGTAATGGGGTGAGAAACAACCTATATATCGTATATATGGGGCTTTTAATTATGTTTTTTTCGCCATAGTATACCTTTACTTATTTAGGAATTGAAGAATATATAACCGTAACGCTTCATATAATATCTTACACAGCTTGTTTGCTGAATATTACAGACGAATAAATTAGTAGCATTATTGTTCCATGTTCTTCAAATCCTATACAAGCATAGGTTTACTGGTGAGAAAAAACAATTAAAAACACCATACACATAATGTGTAACTCACCAATATATGAAGCCTAGTCTTGATTTTGTTTTTCGATTTGCCATTATCCAGAGTTACTGATGAAGTGTAGAATTCTCTGAAATGGGTGTAACTCGGTGACAGTTGGTGAAACTAATGATAGGTTGGGTTTCATGTTTACTTTTAATAACTTAGATATATTGTAACAAAAGATGCCAGAAGATTATTAATAAGAAAACGTTCGTTTAAATAGTTTTTATATATATACATACACCGCTTGCTTTAACGTTGAAATGTTGACTTTTTAAGCTTCAAAGTAAATCAACTTGTATTTTTTGTATATATTGTAGCCGAAGATGTACATAGTTATAAGTAAGATACAAGAATGTCAAAGAAGGTGAGAAAATTAGATAAACAAGAACAAAGTAAAGCTACTTTTGTAGCTCCTTTATATGTCACTGAATTTGTTAGAGACAATTATTTTTAGTTTTTTGTTGTTCAAACTATTTAACCATGAAAGACAATGGAAAAGTATTTTTAAAAGTTCAGTTACAACTAACAATTTACTACTCTTTTCCTTTGCTTATAATTCAATGAAGATTGTACCAACTACTAGTTTTACGTTTTCTACACTAGTCTCTGAACTTATCTAGCAAGTGTGAAATATATTAGATTTCCAAGAGAAAGATATATTTCAATGAGAACAAACTGTTGCATTAAACTTTTACTATTTTCATGTTTATAACTGAAACTTTATTAAAGAGAATACTTTTTTCATGTTTATAACTGAAACTTTACAAAAGAGAATACTTTTTTTTTACTAATGAAAACCAAGCTTGACTTCATGTTTCTCCCTTTGTACAAGTGAATATTACGTGCATTAGTTTTAATTATCGCTTTAATTCAAATAGAACTCATCGTGGAATATATATAACTAATATCAAAAGCAATCTTATCTATTTACAAGGAAGAGAGTACCATTAAGATTAAATTATCTAGTAATTACTCTGTAAGCCTGTACTCATTAAAATAAGTAATTAAGAGCAATTAACAGCAATTATGATAAACAACTCTATTTATGTATCAATATTTCATTGTTTATTTATTAAGCTCTTGATTTGTTGTTATTCATCTACAAGTGACGGAGGCACACTGCGTGAATAAGTGAAAATGGATTTTTGTATGTGTAACATTGCATATACGTAATAAATATATATTATGGAACGAGGTATGTATATTTCGTTTCTTTTCTTTTTTCAACACAACAAGTCAAGTACTTATTGCCACAATATGGAGGTAACTGACGTCACACACTGAAAATATACATTCTAGACAGCGTTTATAGTATACCTCAAGACTATGGATTTATATCAAGGTTTTTGATATATTTGATTTAAGAAGAATATTGTGTCATCACCAAATAGGTATGTATTCGTTTTTGAATGCCCCTCCCCAATCTGCGAATTTACAACGCTAGAAACCGGGTTTTGATATCCGTGGTGGGCAAAGTACAGATAGCCCATTGTTTAGCTTTGTGCTTAACTTTAAAAAAACAAAAACAAACAATCGTTTTTGAACTGTTATAACTGTTTTTGTATTTAATTTTATTTACGCATACACATTGGGGTATTGTACGGTACAATGATAATTCCTTACCAGTGTAAATGAGTAAAAAATAACGTAAAAAAAATATGGCTGAGGCTGCATGTACAATTTTATAAAAACGTACTGTGGAAATGATTCAAATATAAACGCTAGCAAATAATCACTAATAAATTTTATCTAAATTTTAATGCAAACAAGTCCTTTGGCAAACAAGTTATGTTCATTGGTAACCATAAGTCTAGGAATGGTAGCTTATTATTTTCCAAAACATCTTCTGCTATTTAATCCTTGCATCAGGAATATACAGAAATGTATACTGTCGGAACAGTACTGCTTGTTTGTTTCTTTGTTTTTTGAATTTCGCGCAAAGCTACACGATGGCTATCTGCGCTAGCCGTCCCTAATTTAGCAGTGTAAGACTAGAGGGAAGGCAACTAGTCATCACCACCCACCGCCAACTCTTGAGCTACTCTTTTACTAACGAATACTGGGATTGACCGCTACATTATAACGCCCCCATGTTTGGTGTGACAGGGATTCGAACCCACGACCCTCAGATTGCAAGTCGTGCCCTAACCACCTGGCCATGCCGGACGGAACAGTACTGACAGGGGTAAGTCATTTATGTGGTTTTTCTATCTAAAAAAAAAATTCCTCTAGCCAGAAAAAGTTGAAACAAGATTTATAGGACACAAATTCACTCATTCACTGCCCAAAATGTGCGTCCTAAACACAAATTAGTTGTTTCCACGAACTATTTGAATGTTTTCAAGAGAAGTATTCAAGTTTTGCTGACTTTTGTGCTAGGTCGGCTGAGTGGTGTTATCGGTTACTTGAATGTAGAAGGCTGCTTTATTTTTCACGTGTGCAGTTCGTATCCCATTTTTTTAGCACATTTCTCCTTTATTATCTGGTCTTCTTCTCTTATATGACGGGCTATTGAATACAGATCGATATTACAGAGATTTGCATGTCTCCTGAATTCTGACTTTTGTTGGTCTTTTTTTTTTTATCCAATGTATCGGAAGTCCACATTCACAAGGGATACTGTAAAGGGTGCTTTTGCTTTCCACCGGTTCTTTAGGAGGTGTGGTATATCATAACTGAGATTGAATTGTGTAGTTACTTCTCAATGCTGTTCTAACTTTATACTTTACACATGTTCTTTGTATGCTTCCAGAAAATCCTGTAACATAGAGACATATGACTTAGAATCAAAAGTTTTTCCCTTTTATTCTTCTTTAACAAGTATTCAATGTATCTATTGAAAACAAGGGTTGTGTGTTTTTCTTCATTTCTCTTAGCATTTTCTGTATTACAAATCTTGTTCACTCTGCTGACTATGTAGTATTTGATGCTTCTTTACTCTGATACAATGGTTTCATCTATGGGTGAGGTATTTACGCGTATCTTTAGGTATTATGTAAAATCCTTTGAAACATGATCTCTGTATACTGGTGACAATCACGTCTAGGAATAAAAACTTTTTATCTGTTTCTAATTCTATCTTGAATTGTATTTGTGGGTGCTTTTTGTTCAGGTGGTTCATGACTTCTTTAATCTTATCTGTATTGATATCTAATCGCCGCAACCTTACTTACAGCTTCAGTTACTGTTGAATCTGCGGATAATTTTTCAGGATTAGTGTTAATTAAACCTTTTCTGAGATGGTCCTTGTCTCAGGAACGTTTTTCACGATGTTCCAAGAATCTTATATTTCAGAAACATGTTAAAAAACTTCTAACAACTGCAAATTTCTGGCTTTCGTCAGTTGGTGTCAGTTAGCTATAGCCTTGTATACTAGCACTTTAAACAAATGAAATCTCTACACTGCCAACGTGTCAGTTAGCTATAGCCTTGTATACTAGCACTTTAAACAAATGAAATCTCTACACTGCCAACGTGTCAGTTAGCTATAGCCTTGTATACTAGCACTTTAAACAAATGAAATCTCTACACTGCCAACAGCTAACATTTATAATTATGTTATTGTAATTTCTTCTCTTGATAGGAGAGGATGTTCTCACGAATGAAGTTAGCCAATAAAAATTATTCAAACTTTACGATCATTTCGTCAAGGTATTATCTCGGTTCCTTTAAGAAAGAAAAAGTTAACGTTTATACGTGCAAGTAAGAAAACGATGTTCCTCTTGAACAATTTTTCACAGTAAACTGTTGGACAAAGAAAGTGTTATATCTGTTCACTCTATTGTGTTAGAATGAAAGAATTATTATAACTACCTAAACGTAAGTACGATGGTCTTTGTAGGACCAGTTGTGAGAAGTACCATCTTATTTGTTTTATTAGCAACCTATAATTACGGACTTTACCACTTTTATTTCACCAGTTGATGTTTAATTGCGATAAGCAACGACGCCATTACCAGTTAAATAGATGAAAAAATACAGAGTTGAGATTTATTGATAGTTTCTTTTAAAATTCACAAAGTAAAATAAGTATCAACTTTTACCCAAATATTCCCTTAGTCCCCTTTCCAGATTTCTATACTAGACTAAAGTGGCTGTCTCTTATTGTAAAGAAAAAAACATGTGATATATCATATATAGATATAATATTAAAAGTTAACATTAGCGTTGAGAGTGAATGATCTCAATCAGTAGTGATATCTTTTAACATCACTGGCTCAGTGGTAATCTTGAAGACTTACAATGAGGTTATAGATATCCGAGGTTCAGTTATTGCGAGGATACAGCGCATATGGTCCATTGTGTAGTTTTGTGCTTTAAAAACAAGCAAACAATACTTCATCCAGGTTGTTAAAGTAACTTTCCAAGTATTCTCTTTATTCTTGTTGGTTATAGTAGCAGACTTAGCGATTTCGTTGCCTGGTGGGACAGACGGATCCACACTGAAATAAAGTTTGTTAAACTTCCTGAGAAAACTACTCATTATTCAACTAAACAATTTATTTAATTTGAAAAAAAAAGATTAGACTTGTTTTTCTTACTTAAACAACTATTATATCACAAAAATGTTATGAAATTATCTTCAACATTTTGATTAGAATTATAGGGCGAATACTGAGACAGCTTAGGCAAAACATGTTATAATAATTGTCAATTATGTTAAAAATACACGTAGATTGGCTTCAACTGACATAAAAAATTGACGTATTAGAGTAGTAAGGTGCGGATATTTCCAGTCAGTCATTTTTATTACCTTACATTTGAATGAAACTATTGTAAGAAAAACAACTTATGAATGAGATAGACTTAATTATAAGAAACCGCAGACATTTCATAATTTATCCATTTCATCTTATAGACACAAATCATGCTCTTATCATTCTGTCCGTAACTGTGCATGAAGCCTCGTCCACCTAAACAGCCTAACTTTTACTGACGTTTTGTAATGTAAATTTAGTTGAAGTTGCAGTAAATTTACATACTTCTGTATTTATTTGTTTTTTAAACACTAGACATGCTGAAAACAAACGCGATACTGACAACCAGAAATACCAGAGCTATAGAATACAAGAAGAACTTCAAAGCTTTATAATTTTTAGGACATTTAAAAAAAAAACGAAATGAGTGAATAGTATGATACTATTCAATTTCGATCACACGTTAAAGCATTACCAATGTCAAAACCTGAACTTCAGTCAACTTTTCTAGCCTTAAAAAATGCAAAGAGTGTTATGCTGCCTTATAAAGTTATAAATTCGTCTAAAGAATTGAAAACTTAACGTGAGTAGATCTCGAACCTACGACTCTTCTTGCCAGCCAGATGTTTTAATCAAAAAAGCTGTTGCACACCGAGCTCGAACCTACGACTTTTCTTGACAGCCAGATGCTTTAATCAGATAAGCTGTTGCACACCCCATTTTACACTTCATTTTTTTATGATGCACATTGAAATTAAAACTGGAATATGAAGTTTTTGGCTTAAATATTGAAATAAAAGAGCTAGAAATGTGTTTGTAATTACAAACATGTAATTTGTTTGTAGGTTTATATATATTTTTAAAAAGAAAATAATAAAGGCTAGAAATATGATGACGATTATATGGCTTAATTTCCTTGACTGAACGTTTATTACGTCTGCATATCAACTCAGATTATTATCATAATTATGTAAAAAGCAGAAACATGAACATAGCAACGCCACAGATTCATCTCTACAAATAAAAAAATCATGATTATACACTATTTCAATACCAGAAAAAAAATCAAAAACCGTGAATAAAACGTGATTTTCATAATTGGAGTTAAATTTCTACTACATAAAAATGTTATCAATAGAAGTTAAAAAGACGGTACCTTAACAATGTCCTATGTCACCTCCAAGTTAGCTAGACAAACAGCTTTAACAATAAGTTTTTCAAAGGAGTAAGTCAATGTTGTTGTTGTTTTTAAACTATTCACGAATCAGATTATTCAAACTGTTTTCCCACAGTAAACACTTGTAGGAGGAAAATTCTAATATCAGTGTATTTAAGTCTTAGGTTAGTATGTGTTCCTCTAGGCAGGTTTTATGTAGACCTAATATATTCTTGTCATTAACGAAGCGCATTTGACAATGAAACGTATTTCCACGAGCTTCCTGTCGTCATTGTATATTAA